TTTCAGTGAAAAATTCTTTCCCAATGTTCAATCTAAACCTACCCTGTTGGAGCTTGAAGGGTAGAAGAGATGGGAAATCAGAAACTTCTATGACAGAGGAGAAACGGAGAAGGCTGGAACAGGGAAGAAAGGGTAGGAATAGTGATGAAACTCACAGCAAGTCCTATTAAATACCGAAATTAAGGTGATCACTCAAATGAGGAAGAGGAAACATTTAAGCAAGAGGAAGCAGGGTATTTCATTTCTAAAGCTGTTAACCGCTGTAACGCCGCTTCTGTGTGCCTGAAGACAAGCACAGGAGAATCCTGATAGGAGCCTTGGCACTGCTGTGGATTATCTGACACGTGCTCCTCCAGAAAGAAAAGGCAGCAGACACATCAAATGAAACAGTGCTCTCTGTCTTAGAGCCTATTTACGTGTCTGCAGTGCTCGGCACAACCTCTCAGGAGAGCAGAAAGACGGTGTACTCGATAATATGACAGAGCTCAAAACCAGAACTATCACATCTTTCAACAGAAAAATCAGTGCTGAAAACTTACCCATTAATAGAGTGGAATATTTTATCATACACTTCATCTGTAAGATTTAATCTGAAACACCAAGAAAATAGTTAAAGAACACCGACGAAATATACATATTTAACCACAAAAATGTCATCCTTATTGAATGGAAACACAGAAAACGTGTAGAAAGCATGCTTTAAACAGAGTAAAATAGTCCCAAATCAAATGAAACATTGCACTCGAAACAGCTCTAGTAGAGACTGAGAATCCACAAGACCACAAGTAGAAGCCTATCTGGAGCAGTTCAGGATTAGGTACCCTCAGACCCCTCTGCAGACACTCACTAAATTTAACATTTACATGAGTAGAGTGGTTAATATTTCCTGTGGACCGGCAACTCCGGTTTCCAGTTGACTCCAAGAAGGGCAGAGCTGCATATGAAATATACATATTTAACCACCAAAATGTCATCCTTATTGAACGGAAACACAGAAAATGTGTAGAAAGCATGCTTTAAAAAGAGTAAAATAGTCCCAAATCAAATGAAACATTGCACTCGAAACAGCTCTAGTAGAGACTGAGAATCCACAAGACCACAAGTAGAAGCCTATCTGGAGCAGTTCAGGATTAGGTACCCTCAGACCCCTCTGCAGACACTCACTAAATTTAACATTTACATGAGTAGAGTGGTTAATATTTCCTGTGGACCGGCAACTCCGGTTTCCAGTTGACTCCAAGAAGGGCAGAGCTGCATACAGCAGGTCACACCCATCCTCCAGAAAAGATATACTCGAGAGGTGGAAAGATGAAAAAGACCTCAGCACCAGCAAAACATCAGCAAACCAGCACGATGGCCACACTCACACAGAACAGATACACTTTTTGTGTTCAAAGCATCCAGCTTTGCTGCATTTAACTTAGTTGCCCGAATTAGAAGCCTTCGTTCATCTACGAAGCTTCTGGTCAGCAACCATTCTGAAAGCTCCACCAGCTACGTGAGGAACATTGGCTTCTAATTCAGGCACTTACATGGAGTCCTTTCTGGACTGTGTAGATACATCCTGTTGTGATTTTCAGCAGTGGCATTAGCATCATTTTTAACTTCTGACAATTATCATTTTAACATCTGACTCCAGCGCATTTGCTATTTTATAAACAACTGTTGGCTGTGAAGCACTGTCAGTTGCGTTCCTCACTCTTGATACTTTTTACCCAACGACCAAAATACACCACCACATGGAGTTAGTGACCCATAGTTTGAGCAGAACTGGATTTTGATTTCTTCAAGAACTAATGATGGCTTTCCTCCATTAACTGAATTCTGAGACTACAGAATGTGATAAAAGACAATATGTATATATATATATATATAACTATGTGTGTTTGGGGGCACTATTAATTAGATTGAATATAGCTAATTTCAAAAACCACAGATGCAAATTATGGAACGTAATTTTACAGGCTTAAAAAAAAAGGGTATTTTTGAATATTTGAAGGTTATAAGAAGAAATAATAAAAATTTCATGTTCCGGTCTGCTTTTATTCCGATTTCTAAAACAGCTTGCAAATTGTGGAATCTTCAAACTGTCTTTGAGGAGCTCTAAACACACAGAAAAGCAGCACAACTGCTTGCTGTGCCTCTAAGACGATACCCTTATATCAAACCATTATTACCCACTTGTAAGGATATTAAAAAAATCTACCTTATTGGCACAACTCGGGCACCGGCGGATTCCAAAAACTTCACGTACGAAGCTGCAATATAAGAACTTCCAAATTTGTAGAACTTTTCGAAGCGCCATTCCTGTGACAATACCCCTGGCAGGTCCAAAATAAAGAAAGTTAGCACTACACAAAGAGCAAACGCTAAGCACCCAAAGGAAAACTAAACTCCCGTTTCCTATATGCCGGGTTACAGCGTTACATTTAAAGCCTGACAGAGTTACAAACAATTGAGACAACGGGGGGGCACCGATTCCGATGCCTGGTGACAAGGTAGCGAATACACACACACCATCAACCGTGCTGACTCGATTTTCCCTGCTTTAACTATTTAGGAGTACGGCTTCCCTTAAGAAAATATAACGTAACACCGTTTATAAAAGCTTTAACCCACCCTAGGCTGCAGGCGCCCTTGGATTCCACACAGAAGCCGGCAGGGTTGCAGGTCGGAGCCGTTCCCTCCCTCAGGACAGCGAAGGCGGAGAGCGAGGCCGCCCTGGGCCGGCCGGTAACCCCCGGGCAGCGGCCACCGGCAGCTGAGGGGCCACCGGCAGCTGAGGGACCGCCACCCTCCGGGCCCTCCCCACCTCCCCTTACCGATAATGGGTCTGTCGTTACGCTCCGCCGAGCCGCTCCGCAGGGAGGCTGCGACGGCGCCGCGGAGCAGGAGAAGGAGGACGGCAGCGGCTGCGAAGAGAGAAAGCCCTACGAGGCGCCCCATGGCCACGTCTCCCGTCAGCACGGACCGCTCCCGTCAGCGAGCGGCCCGCCAGCCCCGGTAAGGCCCGCCCGGTGCCGCGGGGCATGCTGGGAAATGTAGTTCCGGCGCGCTACGGCCTGTGTGGAAAAAATGGCGG